TAAACTCCTCCTGAACTCATTCTTGCTTTTCAAAGGCTTTCTGCTTAGCCTCTGAGATCCTTGTCCTTCCCAACTTCAGAATTTCATTCAGAAAATGAATTAAGAGGAAAGTCAGCTGAGTGTCACATTCAGATCTCTGACCCTCCCTCTTCCCACTAGGTTCTTGGCCCTTCAAGTCTCCAAATTTTGTCTCTTGCCTTGTAAGACTCCCAAAGCTCTGTTGGTTTCTTTGCTCATACTTTACACCTCTTGCCATACTCACAGGATGGGCAGATGCCTGAAAGGGGAATCTGTGCAGAGTGTTGACTCCTCTCTTATTGTTACCTCCTCTCCAGAATCTTGGCTCCTCAAGGACCGATTATCCTAGCAGTTCTCATGCCTTTCTGTTGCTGTTGTTAATAGCTTTTCTAGTTCTCAGCTAGAGTGTAGGTTTGCTGCTACCTACTCAATCATAGGCAAAAGCAGTAAGGTAATTTTTTAAGAAGTGTTGAACTTAATAGTTGTGACAAGAGATGCTGTGGGAGCACAGGAAGGTACTTAGCCTGACTTATCGAGGAAAGTATCTGGTGGGGACTGACCATTGAAATATCTCTTAAAGGATAAATAATAAGGCAGGGAAAAGAGAGGGAGTGTGTTGCAACCAGAGGGAGCTGTATGAGCAAAGGAGCAGTGATGTAAGTAGCATTACAGGAACAAGGAAGAACATAAATACAAGTACTGCTGTTACGAATTTTAAGGCAGAAAGTGATGAAAGGTGAGTGAGGCTGGAGAGGTAGGTCAAAGAGGGATTTGTGTGCCATGCCTGGGGGGTTATACTTAATCTGTTAGGTAATGGTGAACCTTTTAGAGTTTAAAGCTGGGGAGGATTTGTGTTTTAATGATCAGAATAGCAGCAGTGGAATATAAAGCCCTGTGTTTTACCAGGTTGAATCAAACCATTATAAGTTCTCTGTGGGATTAGTTGTTCAACCAATTTACTGAACTCTCTTAACCCTATTTGAGAAATCCATATAAGAGAAAACAGATCCCTTGATCAGGAAATACTATCTGGGATAGGCAGACCTCCTTCCTTCCTCCCTCCCTCCCTCCCTCCCTCCCTCCCTCCCTGATGGGATTACTTATGCACAGAACTTAATTGTTAAAAGCTATTCTGATAATATTACTGTTCAGTGCAGGTTTGAATTGATTTGAAAAAGTGATCTTAGAATCAGTATCACTTCACTTAAGAGTGAGTCTTCTCAAACCATTATCTTCTGTGGGTTTTTTTTGGTTATTGTTAGTTTTGGCTAGTGTTGATAATACTAGCCATGCAACAATGCTTTCTTGGCTCTATTCTCAAATTTTTAATGTAAGTTAAAGTCCAAAGATTGTCATGATCTCTTTCATAACTAACTGCATTGTAACTGGTTTAAGAGAATTATTTATATGTGATATTTTGTAAATTTGTTTTTTCTGGCATCACAGAGTGCCAGGTATTTTTAGAGGAGGGAAAGGACAAAACTAATATTTAAGTGCCTTTTGCATCCTGTGTGTTTTACATAAGTTATATCATTTAGTTATAAATATGGTATGGAAATCTCTATTTAACTGTGTTCCCTTGTGTTACACCCATACTTACAAAACATTATGTTCATCTTCTGTGGGACTGCTTACAGTTATATGTTTGTGTTATATATTTGTTTAATGTCAAACACCAGATAGTCACATTACATAATAATCTGTTATCTAGGGATTTTTTTTTTCTCCTATATCTCTGACCTGAAGGTAGAATTAATGGTGTTTTTGTTCCTCATTGCTACTCTAGATCATTGTTCTTTCACCTCCCTAAAAGCGTCCCCAGTTTCATCAGATTGTATCACCATCTGCCTTTTCCTGTATGAATTTATTTCCTTGTAATTGAATTGTTCGGATGGTTTACTCAACATTACTTTTTTTTTTTTTTTAGCACTTTTAGATAAAAGCTCACCTTGATAGAAATTTGATTTCTCTTGAATACTTAACTCTCTCCATCTAATAGTTTTGTGATTGTTTCACTTGGTTCCCAGGGACCCTTAGGGGCCCCTAGTCCAGCTCTTAAAGTAGCACCTCAAGGCTCTATGGAAAATGGAATATTGTAAAACCAATGACCATACTAAGAGCTGTCTGACCCAGGGACTAGCTGTAGGGCTGCGTCTGCTTCCTCCCACCTCTGGAGAAGCCATAGAATCCAGATAGTATTTTTTTTTTTTTTTAGCGGTACGCAGGTCTCTCACTTTAGTGGCCTCTCCCGTTGCAGAGCACAGGCTCTGGACGTGCAGACTCAGCGGCCATGGCTCACGGGCCCAGCCGCTCTGCGGCATCCTCCTGGACCGGGGCACGAACCCGTGTCCCCTGCATCGGCAGGCGGATTCTCAGCCACTGCGCCACCAGGGAAGCCCCCAGATAGTATTTTGCTGCCTTTTTCAGACTCCTTTTGTAAGAGTGAGAATCCAACTCCTGGCTTTAATAGTGTAACTCCAGTTTCCTCTTGTCAAGTTGGATAATAGTCTCTGCAGGACATACAGTTCCCTGCTACTCTATATACCCCAAACCTGTCAAGCCCACAACTTCAGTCCCATGAACAAAAGAAACTTACTGTTTCTTTTTGATTCATTGAATTGTATCACTAGTTTCACTAGTTATCAGAATATCTGTTTCTAGCAGTCTTTTCCATCCATCTTGATTTTTATATGCAAATCTGAGGAGCTTAACAATAGGTTATTGCCTCCAGGTTGACATTGGTCCTGTCCTTCAGAGTAAAGTTCACAGGTTTAAAATACTTGGTTCTTTTCCTTGCTTCACAAATGATCGCCTCCATCCCCTCACTCTTAAGATACAAGTTAGTTACTGTCTCCTTCAAGAGCCTTTTACTCTGCTCCCACACTGGGCCAGGTGCCCTTCCAGTGTGGTCTGCTAGCACCCTGTGCATGCCTCTATTCTAATGCTTACCATATTTTATTAACATTTTCTGATTGTTCGCCTCACCGTGAGGCTTTAAATTTTAAAGTTTAGAGAGGGAGTTCATTCTTTTTTTATCCCCCCCTTGGCTGCATTGGGTCTTCGTTGCTGCGTGCGGGCTTTCTTTAGTTGTGGTGCGCGGGCTTCTCATTGCGGTGGCTTCTCTTATTGCGGAGCATGGGCTCTACGCACGCGGGCTTCAGTAGTTGCAGCACACCTGCTAAGTAGTCGCGGCACGCGGGCTGTAGAGCACAGGCTCAGTAGTTGTGGCGCACAGGCTTAGTTGCTCCGTGGCATGTGGGATCTTCCTGGACCAGAGATTGAACCCATGTCCCCTACATTGGCAGGCAGATTCTTAACCACTGTGCCACCAGGGAAGTCCTAGAGTTCATTCTTCATTGTATTCCCATAACCTATCATATGATTGACACTTAATGTTCATTAATATGAACTCAGTTAAATGTCTTGATTGTCATATGTTTTCAGATTATTGTTCGTAGTCTTAACACCAGCTTGGTGGTGAGATGTAAATATAAGAGGTTGTAAACCATCTTTATCTCATTTTCTTCTCAGTATTTCTTGTGCAGTATTCTACAGTCAATCTTTATTTGACAAAAGGAATTGGCCAGAAGGTGAATGTATGGCAGTTAACCTTCTAAAATACCAGTTATAACTAAGTTTAGAGCTAAATATAAAAATTATGTGTGTGATTAGTTGGTTTGGCCAACACAGAAACACTTTATTTTGTTGTGTCAAAGCTGAAAACTGACAGAAAGAGGAGTTGGAATAAAATAAGAGAAACTAGCCAGTGCAATAGTAGAGATTATAATGATCATCAAAGCGCTTGTTCCTTACAAACTAAAGAAAGCCAAGAGGAAGGAGAGAAGAAATTCCAACTGAAATACCTGTTTGAGGAGATATATTGTCAAGATGTACAGCCCTTAGTGCTTTAGTAGCTCTTGAGGTATCTTTCTGTGATATAGGAATTAATTTCATTAAGTTGACCCTGAATGATCAGGAAAAAGGTTTAAGCTGTGGTCTGTACTTTCTGAGGAATGAGATAAGTATTATATTTATTTTTAAAGAGATTTCTATCCAAAATGGTTATGATGATAAATCCTGCAGTGCTTAGATTAAACCTTTACTTGTCTGGAACTCTCACTTATTGAAAATAGTCTTTTCCACTAATCACAGAGTTATTTCTGTACTTTGTTGTGTTTACCTGGCAGAAGTAGTACTTACATAGATCTGTTTTATTAGTAGTAGATTAAGTATTACTAGGTTTGTTTTATTTTTTATGGTGCTTACAAAACTGAAGAGTAAATCGTTAAATACTGCTTTAAAGTGTGTACCTTTTAAAAATTAAGCCTATATCCAGCAGTTTAAAATAATATGTTGGAAGATTAAAATGCCAGTCATGTTTAGTGTTTGTGCAGTGATCTTTGTAATGATAAGTTGGTTCAGGTTAATTTCCCCTTCAATATTCTTTCATCATCTTTAAATGTGTAATTTGTCTCTTATTCCTGATATTTTTCATTTATTCCTCTTGACTTTAGTTTTGTTTGTAATGGACTATCATTCTGTTATCATAGTTCATTTGTGTTTCCTAAAATAGTTTAATGGCTATTTGCTGCCTTAGAAAGAAATTCAGTATATTTTCTTATTCTCAAGAATTAAGAAAACTTACTTCCAAAATTACTATCAGTTGATATTAGTGTTACCTAAAATTTAAAACCTCAATTTAAGTATAGATATATAGTGAGATGACATTGTGAAATTTTTATTTAATAAGAGAATATTGAATATTGATATTAAATGCTATAAGTAGTACATAAGGTTTTATCTTCATTTATCTCAAGTTTGATAGATTTTGAATAAACTTTAAAACATTTTTTAACATATAAACATTTATAACATAAACGTAGCATTTGCTAACCTTTTATAAACAAGAATTACAAACATATCCTTGATGATAACTTGAAACTTAACTTGTTCTCTTTAATTTTTTAATTGTTCCCTTATAGAATGTTTCTCCATCCCAGAGAGATGAAGTGATTCAGTGGCTGGCCAAACTCAAGTACCAATTCAACCTTTACCCAGAAACATTTGCTCTGGCTAGCAGTCTTTTGGACAGGTTCTTAGCTACCGTAAAGGTAAATATTTTAGAATACACTTACATACAGCTTCTTTTTTGAGGGTTTATATGCTACACCAGGGACTATTAGTAAAATATTCTACAAAGTGGGAAGGAGTGGAAAACCTTCCTAAAGATTATATATATACTTATAAGCTATTGCTTTAAGTTTTCGGAAATGTTTCTAATTATATTCTGTAGTTTTCTTTTGGCTACAAGTATTCATAACTTATACTTAACCTATGAAAGTTTTGATCTCTTGATTTTAATACAAACCATATAGCATTGGCAAAATGTTCAGTCATCTTTTTAACACACTGAGTACTAGTTCTGAACAGTGAATCAGACTAGAAAAGTATAAGTCTATTGCATATTTTTCTCTGTCACTACTTATTTATTGAATCCCTTTTGTGTAGTTTTCTGAACAATATATAAATGCTTTCTAGAGGAGTATAACAAGATGAACTGAACTGTCATAAAATAACTTCATTGTATTTTTGTTAAATGGCAGCATTACAGGTAAGTTTTATGTTGTCCCTATTGCTATAATATATTGTTGGTTATATTATGTGAAATCAATCATAGTAGGCCCACAACAGATTTAAAGCAGAAAGTCAGCATTTATTCAATAGCAAGGCATGAAAAGCAATTCAGTTGTTATTTGTATGCCTAGGAATACATAGCTGCAGGAATGATGTATTCAGTGCTGAGGGTACCATATTCTTTGTTATTAGGTATAAAAAAATAGAAGCCAAAAAATTATGGAGTGGAAGAATTTGGATGACCACTCAAGTTACCTTTCTATGTTTCAAACTTCTACTTTTGAGAGTAAAGAGACTTAAATTATAATGACACTAATTGCCTGAAGTCTGGGTTATCTGAGATGCCTACATTTATCTCAGCATCAAGTCCCCCTCCCTTCTCCTTAGTCCCCTACTGTAGCTAATCTCCCTTTCACAGAGAAAGATGCGTTTGAGGTTAGTGTCGTTTCTTGGGTTGTATATTCCTCAAAAATTTTAATGGACTTGTAGCTTCTATCATAGAGAAGATTTTTACTGGCCTTATTATTAAACATTCTAAACAGATTTAGGGGAAGTTTCTGGAACAATTAGAGAATTTTGCCAAGTAAAATATCATTTCTTTCATATTGCTTATTTAATGGGTCCTATCATGCTACTAGCATCAGATACTTAGATATGCTTAATCTATATTGAAACAATTCATCTAAAATGTATTCATAGTTTAAAGGTGCTTAAAGCAGACCATTAAAGGGCTGCAACAGTGAATGGAACCTCAATCCCAGCTGTGCAGAAGAAGGTACTGTGGAATTCTTTAAAAATAATAGACCTCGAGCCCTATCCCAGACATACTGAATCTGAATCTCTAGTAGGTGAGATCTGGACATCTGTATTTAAGTAAACAAAAACAAACTGCATAGATGATTCTGGTATACATCCAGGATTGAGAACTACTGTTTGTTTAAAAAACACACACCCATATATTTGCTGTTGGGATTCACTTCAGTACTAAATTTATTATTGGTGCTCTTGATTTGGGGGTTGCATTTCCTACCCAAAGTTGTTAACTGTTGGACTGTTTTCTTTGTAATGAACTCTGATTACCTCAGGGATATGGTTTTGATATGTTGTGTACATGGAGAAATAAGGGAACCTGGAAAACTGTCTTAGCAACAAGATCTGACTTCACTTTCTATATCACTTGTGTGGTGTCCATTAAGCTCTGAGACTGTTTTCTCATCTGTAAAAGATGATATATTTATGGCAGTGCTTTCTAAACAATAATATTCTGATTAATATTAATGATTATTTAAAAACATTGATAGTATTGAACTAGCTTTTATTTCTCATACGGGCAGAGAATTGGAAGATTCCTAGACAGTCTGCCACTTATACTGAGGCACAATGGTCATTAGTTGGCATGTTTATTAAGTAATTAATCAAGGCCATACTCTGGTCATGAGAAGCCTTCCCCAAGGCTTCATGGGAATGTAATATTTAGGTACAAAATAAATGTTGAAACAGGTTTTCTTTGTGTTATATAACTTATCTCTGTGTCATTCAATATAATTGGACTAAATTATCATGATTATTTATTTGGCTGCTCTGAGCGGTTGTGGGATCTTAGTACCCCGACCAGGGATTGAACCCAGGCCATGACAGTGAAAGCACCAAATCCTAACCATTGGACCGCCAGGGAAATCCCTGTCCTGATTATTTAAAATTGGATTCTGATGCTGGGTTGGCAAACCCTTATTCTACCAATGACGTAGAAAGTGTCCCTACTTATTATAGATAAGGAAAATAGGCAAATTCAAACCCTCCTATGGGTGTCAAACCCAAGAAAGGTTTTTTCCCCACTAATTTGTTCTGTATATATTTAGGAGCCTTTCATTCTTATCATGGATCTTGAATATATAATTTTTTGGGTGAACATTTAATTAGAAAATTTCATCTGCTAGCATCCTATAATTTTTTAAAGCATGTGAAATATATTAATAGCCTTCATTTTATTTTCCCTTCTTTCTCTTTAATTCCCCTAACACCTAGTATGTTAATCTAACTGATACAACAGGCAAAGAGAATAAAACTAGCATAAAAAATACACAAATATATTTTTAATTTGGGGAATTTTATTAAATAAAAAAATGTCTTGTAAAATCAAGCTCATCTCTGCTGGATAGAAATTAACTTTGGCTAACTAGCATTGGTTGAACTTCCAACAATGGAATGGTCTTAGTATTATTCCCATAGACTATAATAAGGCTGAGGTTATGAAGTTAAAAGTTAGCTCTGATCTTAGAAAGCAGTGGGTAGGGGGGCTTCCCTGGTGGCACAGTGGTTGAGAATCTGCCTGCCAATGCAGGGGACACGGGTTCGAGCCCTGGTCTGGGAAGACCCCACATGCCGTGGAGCAGCTGGGCCCGTGAGCCACAGTTACTGAGCCTGCGTGTCTGGAGCCGGTGCTCCGCAACAAGAGAGGCCGCGATAGTGAGAGGCCCACGCACTGCGATGAAGAGTGGCCCCCGCTTGCCGCAACTAGAGAAAGCCCTCGCACAGAAACGAAGACCCAACACAGCCATAAATAAATTAATTAATTTAAAAAAATGCGTAGGAATCAGATTAATTGAATTCCATAGAATTGTTTGTATACTTTTAACTCTTTTTGAAGAATCAATGAAGTTGCTTTTTCTCTCTTCCCCATTTTAGGCCCATCCAAAATACCTGAGTTGTATTGCAATCAGCTGTTTTTTCCTAGCTGCCAAGACTGTTGAGGAAGACGAGGTAAATATTTTCCTTTAAAGATTAGTCATGTCTCTTTTTTGAAATTATCCTTTTATTTTCTGTTTACCAAAACAAAAACTGAAAAATGAGTTTATTTTTTTCTGTCCTGTCCTCCTGCCCCATCCCCCTTTGCTTTGGATAGAGAATACCAGTACTGAAGGTGTTGGCAAGAGATAGTTTCTGTGGATGTTCTTCATCTGAAATTCTGAGGATGGAGAGAATTATTCTGGATAAGTTGAATTGGGATCTTCACACAGCCACACCATTGGATTTTCTTCACATTGTAAATATACCTGAAATCTTTTCGTTTCTTATTTGAATGTGTAGTCCTATTTCAGTAACTTGAAAAGTAGATTGCCCACTCATTTATTTTGTTGTTGTTCTGATTTTTAGCAAAAGGAAAATTATTGCAATTAGCCAAGGAAAAATGAGAAATTGGGGTGTATGTCAAATCATTGAAGCTAAAATTGCAAACTTAGAAATTGAGTAATACCTGAGGTTACATCAGTTTCTGTATATAGCTTATCTAGACATCTGAGTAAAACTAGAATGATGTTCTTGTGATTTTTTTATTTTTTTAGTTCCATGCCATTGCAGTGTCAACTAGGCCTCAGTTACTTTTTAGTTTGCCCAAACTGAGCCCATCTCAACATTTGGCAGTCCTTACCAAGCAATTACTTCACTGTATGGCCTGCAGCCAACTTCTGCAATTCAAAGGATCCATGCTTGCCCTGGCCATGGTTAGTTTGGAAATGGAGAAACTCATTCCTGATTGGCTTCCTCTTACAATTGAACTGCTTCAGAAAGCACAGGTAGGTGTCAGTCTAATTAAATAGTGTTCATTTAAAATTTTTTCTCCTATTGGGATACATAGGGTTAGCAGATAGTTATAAAACTAAGAGACATTTTAATCTTGTAATGGCAGCTCATTTTTAAGAGTAGAGTATAGTTTTACACACTTTAAATTTATGTGTTAGATGTCTTTTTTTCCTTTTTTAAAGCTTAGATAGTATTTTCTTGATTCTTTTCATCCCTTCTAGATTACTTTAAAAGTAAGATTCTTGATAATACATTCTCCATTAGTTTTGTATGAAGAACATTCCTAGCTATATTTGTAGGTTTCATTATAGTGCTTCTGACTTACTCATTCTATAAAAGTCAAGAACATAAATTGCAAGAAGTTACTTTTTTAGACAAGCAGATAATTTATTGTTGGCTAGAGAGGGAAGTATTTGGCAAATAGAAACTATATTCCTGAAGTTCCAGGACTTTCTGAAGTCCTGGTAGTTCTCACTCTTGCTTAAGATTGGTTAATAACTTGTATCTGCAAGTTGGTACAAAATGTTAGCAGTCAGTTAAATTTTTATCAACTGTCTATATAAAAAGGAAAAGTTTAGTGGAGAAAATTCTCATTCAAATGAAAAATTAGTAATGGTGCTGTGTGTTAGCAGCAACTTGGAGAGAATCCTTATTGCTTCTATTCATGTTACCAAATAGAACCTACAAGTTTAGATCTGCTGCAAACCATACTCCTCGGCCAACTGAGTCCATAAAAGACTTATGAACCTACTTTCCCTTTAAATATATATGTCCCTATTTATTCTCATTTGGCAGTAGTTATTCTGATTTGTTTCACTGAATGTTATTTAGAGCAGAGTCTGTTAAATTCTGAGCTTAAAAACATTTTGTAATATAAAAAGAACTAACTTGAGCAAAGAGCTGCAGTTATTGAGTTAATAAAACTTATAATTCTATAAAAGAAAAGAGAATACTTGAATTTGGTGTTTTGTAAGATAGCTATAATTGACGATTTTATAGATATGAGCTATAAAAGTTAGCAGATCCAGACATGTAAGGTATACCAGTGCAACCTCTCAGCTGAGAATATCATGCCCTAGTTTGTGAGCAGAGAAGGGCTGAGAGTCTTTTCATAAAAAGAATGATGATGATGGTCAGATCAATATATCAACTAGAGCTCCATTCCTCTTATATGTGTCTTGTTCCACTATTCTTAGCATGGCTCAGCTTGTTCTGTGTCCCTGGGAAACATGATGTTAGTGTAACAAAGGCTTTTTCTCCTTTATGTTCTTTTAATTGCATGTGTTAGATTAAAATAATTGAGAAGTGCTTCTCTGCATTGAAATAAATGCTATAAAGAAAATAAACCCAAGGAGATAGTTACTGTTTAGTGAGAATTTTTAGAAACTAACATAAACTACCACATAAGTGAATAGTGTAGCACAGAACATTTACTTTGCCTACCTAGAGTGTTGGAAAATGAAGTTGAATATTAATCTTTTACATTAGACTGCAGAAGGAGGGGAAGGGACATAAAGCGAGCATTCTACCTCCTACATTTTTCATCTTTTTATTGGAACAAAGGACATATTTCTAAACGCCTCCATGACTTGGTCTCTGTGCCTGTTTCCAATCTAGTACAGAGAAAATTTGCTATATGAAGAGTTACTGTCACAGAGAAAGGACAGGCTTCGAAGCATAAATAGTAAGAATGTAAATAGCATGTATATTCTGTAGCTTTGAGGGCTTGTTCTCTACTGAAGAACACTAGAGAATCTGCTTATTATCTTTTATAAGTCTTCTGGTGCTAGAAGAAAGTGTTCACTGAAACTCTTTTCCCCAAGTATTATTATTATAAGCTTGGAATTTGAAGGAACCTTCTTAGAAATCATATCATTCAACTCCTTTATTTTATAGCTGCAGTCCAGGGAACTTGGGACTTTCTCAGAGACACACAGAACTTAGTAGCAAAGAAAACTAAAAAAAAACCCAGTGCTTTTTCTGTACCACAGAAACCTTGAAGATTCTAGTCCAGTGGTTTTAAGAGTTTCCTTTAGAACTGGAACCCTTCCCTCACCCCCAACAAAATCTTGTACACACACAATCCCAAAATCCCAAGTAGAAAAGTATTACTTTGTAATGTGTGTTTGGGGCACAGGCCTATCAGATGCAGTCCTATTTAACATGGCCTCTTCCCTTTCATAAGCTATTTGGACATAGTTTGAAAACCACTGTTCCTTTCTCTTGTATATGTATATAGTTATATTCCACAGACATTTATTGAGAAATCTATGATCAAGGCATTGGGGATACAGTGATTCTAAAAAGTCTGCTTCATGTAGTAGTCAAGTTATAATGAGGAAGACAGTTTAAAACAAGTAAGGTCACAGAACTTCAGAGATTTTGAGACTTGGTTTTAGCAATTCTCTGAAACCCTTGTGGCCCAAATCTGAGTGGCTCCTTATTTTTTAAGACTAAGTTCACCTGTGTTCATGTAGGAACACCAAGTCTAATATCTTTGTAATTAGACCCATGACAAGGCCATAGTAATATCAGATGTTTCTCCTGGATTTCTGGTTCTAGTTTAGGAAATTCTTGCATCAGATGGTAAGATCATGCTGGAATTACTTCTGACATGTTTCCCAGGGTCCTGGTTTGAGAGGACTGCTTAATGGTCCATCATAGACATCTCATGCTGTGAGGGGGCCCACTATCACCAGCTCTGCCTATGTTCCCTCTGGACTTCAGACAAAGTACAGTGAGTGTTCCCTGGTTTGAAAGGCAAGCTTTCTCTTGTCCCTCCCTGTCCCCTCACTCCCCAGTCCACCGCCCCCATCACCACCCCTCTTTTTGGCTACCTGTTGTTGCTCATCATTCTGGGATAGCTAACCCTCTCTTTCCTCTTACCCCTTCTCTCATTGCTCTGCTTCTGTGGCTATACTTATGTTCTCCTCTTTCTGACTGACGTGGTCCACCTTGATTATCTCAGGATGTTAAATCTACCCAGATTAGTGTGGTGGTCTTCCTAGACCCTACTCAGGCACTAGTCAAAGTAGATGTTTCTGCTGTGGTGTAGTTTAAAATTAGAGTATGGAGTTAAGGAAGCAGACCTTCCCCACCAGGGTCTTCTAGTTCTTCTTAAAGGTGCTTAAAGTCAGACTACTTACTGCACTGCACGCTATTTTCAGTGCTTTATGCTGTCCATTGAACCTTATGGGTCCATCTGAACCAATTACATCATGCTGTTCTGATCCCCTCTTCCCATCAGTAACCTATTTGGATGTCTGCTCTGTAAACTTTCAATGCTATTTACCCCACCTCCTTGGTGAGCTATATTATAGTTCTGTTTGTTGTTGCAGGGGATGCTTTAAAATGGTATTTGAATTTGGGGAGATAGTAATGTTCTCTTGACACTCTGCAATCAGAACAAGTTCATTTTAAATCTTTTTATAACCATTTCATTAGAGGACTTGTCTGGTGTCTAAAGTTGCAGTAATTCCAGTATATGTGCTTATTTTGTTTCCTCCACTGTATCTCAATGAGGACCATATTATTTTTTTTCTTAGAACAAATTTAGGTTGTAGTAGATTAGAAGAAATTAATTTTGATGCATTATTTTAGACAAAGGACTTAACTTGGGTGGAAGTAGAGTTCATTAGATGGTATTGGTTTGCATAATCTTCATTGTCTTTCCAGCCCCGTTTTCTGCCAGTCCTCACCTATAAATAGAACTCCCTATTTACTTACTATTTTCACAGAGGAAGTTTATAGTGACATAGTCTTCCTTTTACTTGAAATGTCTTTTTTCAGGATTCTTCTGTGATACTATGCCCAGTGACCAAGGCATTAGAATATTTGTGGTATTTTTACTTTTCTAGGCCATTAAGTATCATTCGTTAAAGAACAGTTCATTAAACCTAGGTACTTATCATAATTTTTACCCTGTAGCCTTCTTTTCACTTCCCAATTCCTGTCTTTTTTTCTGTTACCTCTCTTTTGTAGGCTTTTTGAAGAAGTGTGGTACCTGGCCTAGAGTACCAGTTGCCTTAAAGAACTTTGAAGCCCCATCCCTATCCTGTGTGCTTTGTTCCATTGTTTTTAAGAGAGGAAAAGAAATTCTAATACTAGTTAATAATATCTTACCTGTTGTGTTGTCTAGTGCCTTTCAAACTAGGGGGAAAAAATTAGTGAACAAAATAGTAGATATTAAAAATGGTCATTTTCGGGTATAGTTTCTGACAACTTCAGACATTTTTACCTTTGTACTACGTGATGACTAACACCAGCCTTTCGTCTTCCTTTCCACTGACCTGGGTAACAAGTAATGAGTATATTTAGAGATAAAAATAATTTTGTCACCAAATATGTTCTTGCAGAGCGTGTTATTTTCCTTTATTTTCTCTGTGGTATTGCGAAGTCATGCTGTGTGCTACAGGTTTTATAGGTATGAATAAGAATTGATTATATAAAGAATACGTAAGACTGGAAAGTGATCCCCGATAGTTAAATAGTCAGGACAGGCTTCCTGGAGGTGGCATCAGTTAGCCAGACCTGCAAGGAATATGTAATACAGTTTCAACGTGTAGAAACAGGATGAGCAAGGGTAAAATAAGAAAGGGCAAGATTTGTGCAGAGTAGAGAGCAGGCCTGTTTGGCAGGAATGTAGAGCACAAATTAGTATATGGTAGGAGGAAATAAGGCTGGAAAAGAAGCGTGGGTCAGATCGCGGAGAGCCTTCTTAATACCAAGCTAAAGAGGTTAGATTATTTCCGGCAGGCACTTGGGGTACCGCTAAAGAAATTTGAATAGGGAGAAATATATGTTGCCAGAGGAATTCTGACTAGAGCTATAATTGCAGGGAAAGTAAGGCAAAGAGTAACTAATTGGGCTCTATCACAAGTAAGATTTAGAAGGCCTTCCAGGTACAGTCATTGGTGCTAGAAACTTAGGGAATAAAAATGAATATGAGGGCTTCCCTGGTGGCACAGTGGTTGAGAGTCCACCTGCCGATGCGGGGGACATGGGTTCGTGCCCTGGTCCGGGAAGACCCCACATGCCACCGAGCGGCTGGGCCTGTGAGCCATGGCCGCTGAGCCTACGTGTCCGGAGCCTGTGCTCCGCAACGGGAGAGGCCACAACAGTGAGAGGCCCGTGTACAACAACAACAACAACAAAAAAACACAAAAACATGATACAGTGCCTACCTCTTGGGATCTTGTAGTCTATAGTAGAAAAGCATAAATGGTTAAATAGATTATTCTAATACAGTGTGGTAAGTATGATGACAGGTTGATACAAAAACAGATGACCCTGAAATTTGGGTTTGTTGGGGGGTTAAGGGGAATCAAGGGTGGCTTCAAAAAGGACTGATACCTGAATTATCCTGAAGGATAAGAAGGAATTAGTGAAAACTCCCAAATTAAAAACATTAGAAAGAACGTTTTTTCTTATTGTTGTCAATTCTGCTGTTTTCTACAAAAATATAACTTGTCAAAGGTTCCCATTTACTGTTTTAAAAACAAAATAATACTTAAGTTGTTCAAAATTCTTAGCCAGCCTTTCCCCATCCCTTATTTAAATTTTTTCTTGCCTCTGTCTGCTTCTTTAAATGCTTAATGGATTTTATGTTTATCTGTATCTTGGTCTTCACTAAGGAGGTTGGAAGAGGCAAAGAGGGTAGGGTGAAAGGCCTTCTAGACAGGGGAGATAGCCTGAACAAAAGCGTATGTTGGAATATATAGCAGTGAACAAAAGATAATAATTTCAGCTTTCATGAAGATGTACAGCATACAATTGCAAATAAAGAATTCAAGTTCCAAAGAAGTTTATAATACAAATACAGATTTGGACACAATTTCTAAAAATGATGGGTAGGCTGGAGGAGTAGACGAGTTTGAGGTAAAAGATGTGGGGAGAGAAATCTTGGGGGGCAGAGGGCACGGGGAGAAAAAGTGGCCAGCAAAGACGACAGACAGCCTATATTAATTATCAACTTTGTGTTTTCTTTCCCCCGGGTTCAGATGGATAGCTCCCAGTTGATCCACTGTCGGGAGCTTGTGGCACATCACCTTTCTACTCTGCAGTCTTCCCTGCCTCTAAATTCCGTCTATGTCTACCATCCCCTCAAGCACACCCTGGTGACCTGTGACAAAGGAGTGTTCAGATTACATCCCTCCTCTGCCCCAGGCCCAGATTTCTCCAAGGACAACAGCAAACCAGAAGTGCCAGTCAGAGGTACAGCAGCCTTCTGCCATCATCTCCCAGCTGCCAGTGGGTGCAAGCATACCTCTGCTAAACGCAAAGTAGAGGAAATGGAAGTGGACGACTTCTATGATGGGATCAAACGGCTCTATAATGAAGATAATGCTTCAGAAAATGTGGGTTCTGTGTGTGGCACTGATTTATCAAGGCAAGAGGGACATACTTCCCCTTGTCCACCTTTGCAGCCTGTTTCTGTCATGTAGCTCCAGGTGTTACCTTCAAGTGCAAACTAAGGTAGACTACTGTGGGAATGGGAACGTGGAAAACAGGATAGGCTGTATAAAGGTATATACCTTACCAGGCTGATTCGAAATGAGCCAGAAAAAAAAAACCTGTTGACTTGTATGGCTAATTATAATTCAACATTATTTAAGCACTTAAAGACCAAAAAAAGTGTAAAATTCAAGATCAAAAAATTTTTAAGTAAAAAATTTCTTTGTAGTGTTTGTCAGTTCCACCCTTCTCTCTGCTAAAATGTAATGTAGATTACCCTGTGTCAGAAATTCATGTTCAGTGTTTTTTTTTTTTAAAGTTCCAAAATTCCTAGCTAGCAAACCTTGTCCCAGAATCCTGATTTAATTTTCCTCTTGCTTTTGCTTGCCGCTTCTTTGAATACTAAATGAATTTTATGCATGTTGACCTATAGCCTGACTTCCACTGATGAGGAAACCCTGAAAATTTATTTTTAGCAATTTAGTAAACAAATTATTTCAGTGACAGCAATGTTTATAATCCATGATTCAAATTCAACTTAATCTGAAAAAGGTACTTCAAAATTGCCTATGAATCAGAGTTGGTAACAGAAAAAGAACTCCCATTACCATGTTGATTTTTGTTTGTCTCCTTTCAATTTCTAGAGTTTGGAAACAAAATTAATATTTTCATTTTTATCTTAAATTGAAGCTTAAAAGTGGCATGTGATTAGGACACTTAAGGTTTGTTGGAAGCATTTTTGACATCTGTATAATAGAATTTGTGATAAAGTTAATATATCCAGGTGCTCACCAAAGAAACATGTAACAACTAAAATTAGATTTAAAAAAACTGTTCAGTTCACTCATTTATAATCAGTAGGAGAGACTGTCTAGATGTTGGGGCAGCTCTATGATTTGGGTCTGTAACATGTAATAACTGAATTCAGTACCCTAGTTTTATGTTAAGCTATTAGGATTTTCTTGATAAAAGTTAATCCCCTGCCTCCCCAGCCTACCTGTATTCTCTTCATGACTTCTGGGTCCTGAGCTCCCTGTGCAGCCTGAGGAAGGTACTGCAGTCAGAACCATGTACTGATTGGTAGCAATAAAAGCTGTCCTTAACCTTTTTATCTCTTTTTTTCCTGCTTGTGAAGTGCAAGTTCTTGATTAGTTAAGCACTGCTATTTCAACTACAGAAGATGATAAAAATCCTAATATGCTTGCAGAAAATAAAACATGAAGAAAGGGGGGATTTAAATGTGACTGAGTTTAGGTTTTGACATGGTGGACTGTGCCCTACCAAACAGTAAATTCTTAGCTTAAGGAACTGTGAGGGCAGACACAGACCCATATCTAGATAACCTGTCACTTTTAAGCCACTGATTTTGTTCTGGTTTAGCAGAGCAAGAGTATTCTCCAGTCATTTGACTTTTAAATTCTTTTATGGTAGGGCTGGCTACCTGCTATAGTCCGATCAAGGGGGAAACACGTGTGTAAGTCAGTACAGGGAGTGAGAAGGAATATAGAAGAATGAACTATTTTGGGGGTGAAGACAGCATGAGGCTGGCTTTGCAGATACACATAAAAAAAAAAATCCCACTTATCCTAGTCTTCATCTGGTTCTGTTTTTTAATTCTGAATTGTGGGAGCTCCAGGAAGTCCACAACTACAAATGTTCATCATTAAAATAAATGCTACTTAACCCCCCGCCCACTTCCACTTAACAAATGAGGAACATTTTTGTTACGTAGAAAGCTAGGGATAAAGTTGAGTCTAGAATCAGAATATTTCATGTGTGGTCCAGTTGCTACATATAGATGGTACAGAAGTTAGAAATAATATTTTAATTTCTTGATCTTGAGGCTTTCTAATCAAAAATGGATGGTAAGTCCGTTTGGAAAAAAAGTATTTTCATGGGAAACTGAATTGGAATGGTTGGGCGGCTGCTAGGTCTCATGCCTCAAAGCTTATTTAACCCATAGATCAGTTAAATGATAGTACTTTGGAGACCAGCCCCTCCTGAGCACCCTTTCAGTTACATCTCCCTGCCACTGTCCCAGAGACCTGAGCTACCATGAGCTCTTGGAGAACTTTGGCTCTCTGGGGCCTGAACTCACGGACTGAGACAGAAAAAAGCAGAACATTCTTGAACAGTGTGGGACTTTTCATTAAGAATGTTCCTACTGTTAAATTACATCCTGTTTTATCAGAAACTATGCTCATTAGCCTGTCCCAAGATACCTGTCTTAAATCTTGGCATCACACCACAATTACTCTCTTCCAAGATTTGGAAACTTGAGCTTTATGGATCACGATTGCCTGGTGCCTCCTGGTGGTGAGAAAACCTGTTATTCCACAAAGGCTCTGCAAAGGCATGGGAATAAACATGATGGGAGAAATTAGTTATTCTCTAATCCTCCATTCAACAGAAGTGAAAGTGCATGCTCTAGCTCTTGAAGCTCTTACTAGGAGTAGCCGAATAATTGTCTTTCAGGATTGAAGTTCGTTATCTGTGGAGAACTGAATTTTCTGCAGATGATGTCTTACATTAGCGTGGAGGGGAGGGCTGGGAAAGGAGAGTGCTCTCAAATGCCAGTTAAAAAGACTGATATAACTGATTTGTCAGAAATGTTCCTGACACCATGCCTTTGGCTCTGAAAGAAGCTATAGCGTAGCTCCTCACTTGGCCAAGCTGATGAGAATCTGAGCCTACAGTCCTGCTATTGAGGGAGTTAAGACATTGGCGTCTGCCCCCCAAGAAGTATTATTTCTTTTCTCCTATGTTGTTAGAACCAACACGTATGTATGTCCTGTCTATTCTCTTTACATACCTGGATTTTCAGGATTTCTAATTCACTCCTTTGGAGTTCCTGAAACAAGAAAGTAAGTTGTCCTTGAGCATTACTGCCCGAAACAGCACAATGTGGTTAAAGCCACTGATGCTCAGCAAGCATAATGGGGAGCCTTGTTATCTTCATCCTTAAGGTAGTTTGTACATTTTCAACTGGAAAGGGAAGATACTGTGCCAGATGCCTTCACAACCATCCTGGGACATAGCAGGTTGAAGATTAGAGAATTGTCCACATAGCCAAGAAGTTTTAACAAGGTTCAATTTCTGACTTACCAAATATAAAGGATAAAGCTTTGAGATATGATGTTTTGTCTAACATGTAATTGTTATTTCTACAGCCTCCAAAATTGTTGAAACTAGTCTTTAAACTGTGTTAACAGGAGAATGGCTCCTATGCTCATTTATAATGTTTTGAGCTTTGGCCACTAGATGGTGCTTTTAGAAAAATAGAACATCTTTTTAAGTTTCAGGGAGAAACTGGGCTTACTCTGTGGGAATGAGCAGTTGAGCGCTCACCTCTTGTTGCTAAGCAATGCATCAGCACCATTTGCAGTTACAAGTTCACATCACGTAAGCCTTAGGAGGCCTGTGCATGTGGGACTGAGGGAAATTAGCAATATCTGCCATGGTTTGGGACAGATGGTGGCTAAGTATGTCTTGTACCAAAAAAAATTGAAAATAGCCAACTCCCAAAAGCTTGCTGCTTTCATTTTGAGCTGGATTTGACCAATCATTAGGACAGAAAAGATGAAGTACAGGCTTTGTAGCACAGCTTGCATTAAGGAGTTAAAATGAAAGCTTTCCCTCACCATACTGATGAGTTCACAGACCTTCCTTTATTTACAGTGCAGTTACATCCCGATAAACTCATCGTAAGTTGAAAATATCCTGAAGTCGAAAATGCATTTAATGCATCTAACCTACTGAACATCATAGCTTAGCCTAGTCTACCTCAAATGTGCTCAGAACACTTACGGTAACCTACGGTTGGTCGAAATCATTTAACACAAAGTCTGTTCTATAATAAAGTATTGAATATTCTATGGAATTTATTGAATACTGAATTGAAAAACAATGGTTCTAAGTGTATCCGTTGTTTACCCTTGTGATTGCATTGGCTGACTGGGAGCTTTAGCTCGATGCCACTGCCCAGCAAAATGAGCATCCAAACTGCATATGGCTAGCCCAGGAAAAGATCCAAATTCAGAAATGTGGTTTCTACTCAATGCATATCACTTTCACACTATCATAAAACCAAAAAATTGTGAGTCAAACCATCTTAAGTCAGGGACCATCTGCAGTGGTTTTTATGATGTAAGACCCATGTGTAGCACACAGACATAACTCTCCCTGTGCCATCTCTTGATTATTGAAAAGGTGTCATGAGAGGTAACCAAGAACATCTTATCAGATAGAGAAATCTGAAGAGAGCACAAAACACTAGTGTTGAAGTTTCCAGGAGGCTGAACCTCTCCATTTCTCTTGACTCTTGAAGTACAACCTTCATAGCAGATCAGATGCCAAAACTGTTGACCTTATTGTGTTACACAACAGTAGGGCAGTGTAGAAAAGCATAGACCCAGTGAACTGGTTTCTCCTTCTCAGAAACAGCTTATTTTGTTAGCAAGAGGACACTCCAGAAAGAAGGGCAACCTTAAGAAAGAAACCACTGAAAAGCAGTTGGGGGTGGGGGTGGGTTTTGCTTTTCAGAATACTCTCTCTCACAATTTAGCATAGAAAGGGCTTACCTTTTCTGTTTACCCCCAGAATTTGCCGTGTTTGAGGTATGCAGAGAGACATGCAATTCATAGTGCGTGGCTACATCCACAGTACCTAATGTAGGCCTGGTGCAGTATATAGAACAAAAAAAAGTATTTGGTGGGGGTGTGGGGAAGGTGGATGGATATAAATAAAGGGCAAGGAGAGCTAGAGCCGCAACTCTTCAGTATTCTCAACGCACCGTGCAGAGCAGGCATGGTTAAGCAGAGTTCTTCGTGGAATGTTATTCTGCACCCTCTCCACCATACACAAGTTGTTTTTTTGACAGGCACCAACCTTGTGATAATAGCCTCTGCCTCCTCTGATCTAGGTGCCATGATTTTGAAAGGAAGTTTCCATAGTGGACTGAAATGCCATTCACAGCATGCAAATAACTGATTTGAGGCAGATGTGAAGTCTTCATCTGTACCTCCCACGATGTTCCACTAACAACCAAAAGATCTCATTTGTAAACAGCTACCTGTCAGAATAGGAAGGTTGGAAAGCTGAGGTGAGCAGATACCGAGGCTTGCAATTAGTCTTTTTAGATGAACACATTCAACCTCTACACCAGCCCTGAGGGTGCCAGT